ACAACATGGGATTACTATCACATAAAGCTGTCACCTCACTCGAAGCAACTCTGTACCATCGTACTCCCGTGGGGAAAGTACGAGTACCAGAGGTTGCCTATGGGCCTATGTAATAGTCCCGACATCTTCCAAGAGAAGATGGAGACACTAATGCACGACCTAAGATACGTCTGTGCATAAATTGATGATCTACTAATCCTCACTAACGGCGATCTGGCAGATTCACGTTGAAAAGTTGATGAAGTTCTTCCGAAGGCTTCGAGAAGCGGGACTCAAGATCAATGCCACCAAGTCCTTTCTTCGAAAGAGGAGAAATTGAGTAACTAGGTTACTGGATTACTCGAGAAGGGATCAACCTATAACCAAGAAAATAGACGCGATCCAGAATTTCGCTCCTCCTACCAACAAAAAAGAACTCCGTAGGATTCATTGGACTAGTGAATTACTATCGAGGACATGTGGATTAGACGATCACATGTACTGGCCCACTCGCTTCGTTGACTTCCAAACAACGAAGTGGAAATTGGAAGCAGAACACGACAAGGCCTTTAGCCAGATGGAGAAGATCATCAGCAAAGAAACCTTGCTCGCTTACCCTGACATCAACGATACATTCGTTAACCACACGGATGCAAGTGATACTCAACTAGGTGCAGCAATTTCCCAGAAGGGAAAAAACCTATCGCGTTCTACAGCAGGAGGCTCAACCCTGCTCAGACGTTACACAGTTACCGAGAACGAACTTCTCAGTATCGTTGAAACTCTAAAAGAGTTCCGTAACATTTTTCTGGGACAGAAGATCGTTGTGCATACGGACCACAAGAATCTTACATGTAGAACTTCAATACCGATCACCTAATGCGATGGCGCCTTATTCTGAAAGAATACGGCCCTTGAACTACTACGGTAATTCAAGGGCGAACAGAACATCGTCGCTGATGCGTTGTCGAGGATTAACATCTCCACAACGACAGGTCTTCAGAACCAAATGTGACGCCAGCGAAGATCTGAGCTTATGGTGCAGACGAAGAGGACTTTCCTAGCGAGTTCCCTCTCTCGTTTCCCGAGATCGAACATCGTAGAAAGACGACAACGATAACAAAAAACTCCTCAGGACAAGCCAAACACGACTACAAGAAGCAATCTTTCCCCAGAGGGCATAAGTCTTACGACTTAGTAGTTAAGAACGATAAGATCGTCGTACCTAGGACTATGCAGAAGAAGCTATGTGAATGGTACCATTGTGTGCTGATGCATCCTGGCGAGCATCGCACAGAACTGAACATCAGCCAACACTACACCTGGAAAGGATCTGCGCATGACTGTGCAGGCCGTATGTCAGCGTTGCCAAAAATGCCAGATGAACAAACCAAAAACGCGTAAGCTGGGATTGATTCCTCCAAAGACTTGCGAGGAGATCCCTTGGGAAAAACTATGTTTGACCTGATAGGTCCATACAACGTCGGGAATCCAAGAAAAAGAATTCCGGTACACTTCATTGCTTGACAATGATTGATCCCATAACCGGATGGCTCGAGATTGCAGAGATCTTCTCCAAGGCAGCAGACGAAGTAGCATCGTCCTAGAACAAACGTGGCTACTCGGTATCCATGGCCGCCTGGTTGATCATGGATAGAGGACGTGAGTTCGGCGCAGAGGTCGAAAAGAAACTCCGGGAGGAATATGGCCTTCGTCGCAAGTTCATTCACCACGCGCAACCCTCAAGCCAACTCCTTGGTCGAGCGTGCTCATCAAAACATACGAACTTGCTTGCTGTTCAAAATATCAAGTGCAAAGACGACATCGTGAACGGATCCTGGTATGATCCCTCACGGCGGTTCGCTTCGCAATGAACGCCACGATCCATACCACCTTGCCTGCAACGCCTGCACAGCTCGTGTTCAACCGTGACGCGATTTCACAACGTCCGTTTCCGAAGCAAACTGGAAGTACATCAAGGATCGTCGCCAACGACTCATCAAACAGAACAACGATAGGGAGAACGCGACGCGTGTCCCTCTTCAATACAATGTCAACGATACCGTGATGGATCAACAGTATCAGCACCGCAAGTACGGTCAGCCAAGTTACAAAGGTCTTACACTATAGACCGAGTCAATGACAATGGCACTGTACGGCCTCCAACATGCTACGCCAACGGCGGGCACCAGTCTCCCAGACTTGGAACATAGGTATATTACACCCATCCAAGGCCTGAATCCCCTTGTAGGTATTGCCATCGTGCGACCCACATGTCTACATCCACTCTCATGAGAGTGCCCCGCACTTTAAATCATATGTTCTTCTTGTCCGGCTGATGTCGTGCCTTCTGTGACCCTGTCAGGGGCGAATGTCAATACAGGCTCTTCCTTATTCGCGGACTCGATCCTAGATAGGGTTTGAGTTCGACTCATGGATGAGTCTCTCGTGAATAGTCATTGAGACAGGGTTCTCATGACCGCTAGTCATACTAGATCGATTGTGAAACATCGCGCTAGATATTTAGCTGGCGTGAGAGATTCCACGCTACTAGATAAATGCTAGACGAATCTTCCACGCGTTCCGTTTTTGGATCGTTGGAACGAGTAGGATTACTACCACAACCTACTCTATCACACTTTACAGTCTCCCGCGGGAGTTCAGATCTACGATCCCTTGATTGTGATCTCTCTCGTTATTAGTTTTCATAGCTTTTAATCCTCTTCATAACTTTCATTCTCTCAAACTCAAAACACTCGAAAGATCTTTACACTAGCTTTTAGCGTAGTGCAGAACAAATCAATAGTTTCCACTCGCATGGCTAGTACATTCTTGGGTGGAGGATCCAATAGAATCAGTAGGGATGGATAGTCCCCATACATGATTCCAAAGGAACAGAAGGTTCTATACATCTTCTCATTGTTCTCTCTTGTTGCTGCCGAAAGGACTCGATTACCACATCTGGTTGAGTACTTTCCCTTATAGTCAAACTTGGTCAAAATGGCATCAGAGCTCAATTCCAAACCCAACTCAGTAGCTGCTGCTTTCAGCCCAGTCGGTGCCTTATCCCAGTATGGCTGCATGAACTCCTTAGTTGACTTCTTAGATAGGTCTGTTGGGAAGAACTGAGGGGGGTTGCTATTGCTGTTGTCATCTTCAGTATCAGAACTTATCTTGTTGATTTGTAACAACAGCAACAGCAGCTCGAAGGTGGCATTTTGGAGGGAAATGTGGCATTGCTTCAGAAGCGCCCGGGCAGCTAGATTTAAGGTGCATGATTTTGCCTAAGTCTACAGCTACTGCATTTAAGGAAGTGCAGTTTGGTGCAGTTAGGTGCAGTCAATAAGTGCATTGCCCGTCAGGTCTATAGTTTCTTGATGATGGTCTGGAGCGTCCCTCAATCGTGGGTGAGTTTAAAATACGACCCAAATCCGACCCTAAATCTTTGAAACCCGACCCTAATTCCATGTAGCAATAGGGTCGGTTTTGAAACCCGCCCCTAAATCGAAACACGTCCCTAAATTAGGGATGTTTTTTCAGAATCCGTCCCTAATTTTAGGGTCGGTTTCGAAACCCGACCCTATTTTAGGGTCGGATTTCAATGTATTTACCACTCAGTCCCGCTTCCATTTAGGGACGGTTTTCAAACACGCCCCTAAATCGAAACCCGTCCCTAAATTAGGGACGTTTTTTCAGAATCCGTCCCTAATTTTAGGGTCGGTTTCGAAACCCGACCCTAAAGGGGAATCCGTCCCTAAATCCGACCCAAAATTAGGGTCGGTTTTCGATATAAGTCATGCACGATTGAGGAACGCTCCAGGGTAGGCAGATAGACTGCCGAGGAAAACCACTCCATCAATATTTCAGCCACATCTTTTTGTTGGTTGACAAGCAAAACAAACACTATTATTACTAGTTGGACTATGTTGTACAAGAAGCATGTTTAGGTCATGAAAGCGAGAACCTCGCCTGGTTTGGCAATCACCACGTCCAAATAGCGACTCATATCCTCCCGCGGAACTTTTGTGGGCTTCTTGGTATTGATGATACGAGGAACACCTCGATCATCAACCGACATGGGAGAACCACAAAAGAGGGCTCTTATGTCTGAGCTTACCGTGTAATCCATATTCTTGTTGAAGGTCCATTCCTTGGGCACAGTACACGGTGTCGAATTCGTCAGTCCCAAATCCATCAAGAGATCAAGTCCGATCTCAAAGACTGGTCGAATGGGACACGAATCCTGAACGAGAAGCATCGGGGGTACGCTGCCATTCCGTGGCGTGATACCTATGCATAGGAGAGCATGATAACATCGATCTTCCGGGTCAGGGCGTTCGTAATCATCGTAATAGTTTGCAACTTTGCCTGTATATTTCACTTGTTCCTTATTGGAAAGGCTGGGAGAGCATTCAATGCCAAACACAAACGGACGACAATGCTCCAAATAAATCTTGAAAAAGACAAAGTTGGTGCGTTCGTCGTCCCAGATAGGAATGTTCTCCGCGTTTTGGCAGTCTGTAGTACCGAAACTTTTCAGCAAGCCAAGCAGAACTCTCTCGAGGTAGGCACCCTTAGGGCATTCTCTAGTAGATTCGTTCGTCCTAAAACTCGTTCTAATTCTATTTTAGAACGAATTTTTAGGACAAAAGCAATCTTTAACTCAAATTCGTCCTATTTTTAGGACGATTTTTAGGACGAACTGAAAATTTGGGTCCTATTTTTCAAAAATACGACGAGAAAATAAACTCGTTCTAAAGACTCGTCCTAACAAATCCTCTAAATCCTTGAGTCTCCTTTGATGACATCATCGCAACACGATTGAGTTAACAAGACTGAGTCGAGTCATCCACTCACTGATCTTGACCTCGCTATGGTACTAGTAGCTATGATAGCTAGGGTAGCTGGCAGCTACTAGCTAGCTAGATAACAAACTCCAAATCAATGATCACAATAGACTACAAAGTTGCTTCGTGTGAAGCTCCTAACGTTAATCTCACTTCGTGTGAAGCTCCTAACATTGATCTCACTATCAACGACGGACGAGTTTCTTAGAGAATGAACTTGCGTCCTTTAGAAAACTCCGTCCACGGAAGTCCAGTTTTAGAACGATTTTTTTAGAGATTGCCGATTTGTCCTAATAATTTGCCAAAATTTTCTCGTCCTAACTTTAGAACCAGTTTTAGGACGAGAACAGGTAGAGAATGCCCTTAACAGTGGTCAAGGTAAAATTCGCAATCTCGCTCCCCGAAACTTCGTCGCGCACGTACTTGGAAATATTCATTTTGATGATTTCAATAGTGTTGTCATCGTCGTTCTCCCCTTGGTTATTGTGTGAACAGTAATACAGCAACGCCGAGCATGTATTGTACGCACAGATATACGAGTCCTCCCGCAGCAAATGAAGAAAGGGACGCATGTTTGGACGATCCTTGAAGATAGTGATCGCCTTTTGCTCCTGCCGTGTGAATGTTGTCAGCTTTTCCGAAACTTAATTTGGCAACAAGGTTTGAACGGAGGCGCGGCAATCACCACCCTTGCGAACAAAACTCGACAATCTCTTGTATTCCATTGACTCTGGGCGAAGAGCATTGATGAGTACTTTCGCAGTTTTTTGTTGGCCACCTGCAATGATCTTGTCCATGCCCTTCAAAATCATGAGCACGAGGATGGCTTGCTGGTCATGTGTAAGATCACGAAAGGGCTTGCTTCGAAAGTCAGATTCACCCGAGAGCTCCAACAACTTGTTTGCGGTCGCCAAGGTGTCATGAAACTGTGCAGTAGTACCGGTACGGGCGGCTTTTGGTGGGGTTCTCTTTAATACCTCGTAGTAGGCTATCCATGCGTTGCTGTCGCTGTTGTTGCTGTTGCTACTGCTGCTGCTGCTGATGATGATGATGCCACCCCCATTGCGCGTGCGATCGTTCTTTGGCGTAGCGTATGGCGTGGAGAGAGTGGACGATGCCGAAGTGAGGGACGTTGAAGCCGCAAGGTCACAATTGATTTGAAGCGATGTAGACAATTCCTCGCTGTTGATGGTGATGCTGGGGTCGTCCATGGTGCAATGGAGTTACAAACAGGGTGAGGAAAAAGAAAGGAGTAGGTGTAGTCCGAACTCAATTCAGGTTTCAAGAAATGAACAACAAGTTATTTTAAAAATTGAAAGTGTTTTTCTGCCACGGAGGTGAAACTGCCTGATTGGAATGGACGACGTACTACTAGTACTGTCCTTTGACTCCCACGTTTTGACTCCCACGTTTTGAAAGCGGTTACAGTAAACCAGCCCATCAGTCGTGCGCGTGGTGTTACAGGCTGAATCTAAACTATCGCGACAAACGCAAGCCCGCTCCCGGTACGACATTCGAACGCGAGCCGGAACTTGCAGGAACGTTCCGTGAAAAGACTTAGGGGACATATAACATTAATCTCAACTGACATCATTCACATTCGGATCAATCCAAGCCACTCGTACCAGGTACACCTCTTTTATTATTTCGATCGATACCTCTATCTTTCCTCTATCAAGATGATGCTCGATGAGTGGAAATCCACGTGAACTCCCATTGTGGTGCGAAGCAGCTGTGCTGGTTTAGCCAGGTGGAAGAATCGCTGTGACATCTGTATACTCCAACAGTAGGGTCAGCAGTGCAGCCATCTGGCAATACAGAAATAGCTGAGGAACTCTATATACCCAAGGATGATGCAGTTCTTCAGCCAAGACCAATATAGAAAGTAGCTTGCCAGCACCAGCCAAATGAGATGCAAGAGAGCCAAAGCTGCATGGCTGATTGCTGTCTAGGATTTTGTGTTCAGTTTATTTTAGCATAGTTTAAAAGAAGAAGAAGTAATTAAAGGATAGTTGACCAGATACAGCCTCAATAGCACTAGTTTCCCACAGTTGAAGCCTTCCTTGTTGTGTGGATGTGGCCAAGGCAAAGAGTGAGTTTTTCAATCATTGCTGTGGAGATTGAATAGGAGCGGCAGGCCCAGCCTTGTGGCTGGCCCATTCCCACTGTCAAGAGGAGTGAGGCTCCAAGCAGACCTCTCCACTCCAGCCAGCTCTTTGTGCATCTACCCTGACTGAATCACATCGCAGAAAACCACAATGATGGAAAAAGAGAAAAGGTAGAGCGACAAGAGCAAGAAAAAAAAAAAAAGGAAGAGAGAGGAGAAGAAAAATCGGGCCGAATCGGGACCTGCCGACAGATCGACGACAGAAAACTGGAATAACAACAGTCTCAAGTGGTAGTACTAGGTCCATCCACCAAGTCGAGGGTTCTCTACAAGATACACCAGCCAGTTTCTTGTTAATCGGCCTAGTTACGGCGGCCGAGAGAGGAAGGCAACAGGTTCATCATTGTCGACCTTTTCCTACGTAAATCCTCAGTCGTGCCTCCGGGGAGGATACTGCGGTGAAAGGGAACCGGTACTCAAACGGCACTCACAGAACAC